TGGGAGGCAGAGGCAGATTTCCACACACACGCACCTTGTTTCCCTCCCCAAAAGCTAGATGGGTCTTATACTTCGGAGTGTCTTATACTCCAAAAAATACGGTATTTATAAAAAGTGTATATGTTAAAAAGATGTTAGCATTTGGAAAGAAAAATACAATGGTGAGGTTCTGGGGACAAACATGAAACATAGATAACATTTCCTGTTTCTGATAACAGACTTAAGTACACAGTGTGGTGAAGGTTATGAGTAGATTTGGGAGGACCTCAGTCTTTTCATAAGTATCTGAATTCTTTCGGGGGTGGCGGAATTCTTTGCAGCATCTGACAGACCGCAATCATATCACTGGGAAGATTCTAATCTGATTGTGCCATTATGTATGTTCATACAAAGGATTCTTTCCGCCCATTTTTTCACTGCCTATTTTGAAAGAAAGATTAATAGATCCAAATGTGAGCAGAAAACCCATGAGAGCACATGAAAGCTAATTACCAAATTTTTCTGTTTCCTCGAGGTCGATTTTTGAAGCACAGTGTCTGCTAAAGGTAGAATATTTTTGTTTAAATTTGACTTTTACAACGTGTAGTATTTTTAGGTACAGAAATTCTTGCAAAAAGCAAATGAAGATGTGAAAATTGGACCTGAAGGCAGAGTCTATCTGAAGGTAGAATCTTCTACCACCAGTGATTCAGATGAACAGGAAAATGCTTCTCACTCACAGCAGAATTTGAGTCTCCAAAATTGTGACTTGCTATATCCTAGTTCAGATACACACGAACTTGACAGTTTTGAAGTAAAAGACAAGGAAAAGCTGATAGGCGAAGGAGAAGAAGCTCCATTAGGAAGAGAACTCGTTCCCCTGGATATTCCAGACTACCTACAAATGGACACAGAAGGTATGTGAAATTAAAAATAACGTGTTTATAGATGTACATACTGTAGTTGTATAGTGCATAAACTGGAGTGTTATAAGAAAAAAATATAATTGACTAATAACAAATGGTGCTCTTGTACTTACCGTAGCTTTTTCTAGGTGCGATTTTCTGGTTTGTTTTGTTTTTTTTTTTTTTTGTTTTTTTTTTTCATTTTTAAAGTGTCATGCTATTCTTACATTTTATACAGTCATTTAAATGTCCAATGAATTTATGCTTTCTTACTGTAGTGGATGTTAATAATTTAGCACATCACACCAAAAAATGTTTGGTTTCTTGAATATTGTATCTTAAAAGATGAAGTGAAATTAATTCCTTGATGTTCTTAAAGGTATTTTTTTAATATTCTTTTTTTTAATGTGCTTTTTTTTGGCGTAGGTGAAGTAAATACTATGAAAAAGAAGACAAATAAAAAGATGCATAAGTGGAAAAACAGAAACCTTAAGTGTCTTCCTCACGAAATAGCCGATGATCCTGAGCTGGCTAAATACTGGGCACAACGATATCGACTGTTTTCTCGTTTTGATGAAGGCATTCAGTTAGATAGAGGTAAGTTTTTAATGATACTGTGTTCTATGACCTAAAAACTATTTTCAAATAATAACCAAGTTCTCTGATGAATTGTTCACATACATAATTGCTGCTTGATGCTATGGTTCTTTTTTAAGTTTGCAATTAATGAACTGCTAGTATTCCTCCTATTTTTGTGGCTTACTTTGAACAAGTACCAAAAGTGTACAGATAGTCCTTGACTCACCACAGTTTGTTTAGTGACCATTCAAAGTTACAATGGCACTGAAAAAAGTGACTTACGGCCATTTTTCATGCTTATGACCATTACAGCATCCCCATGGGCAAGTGATTTACATTTGGATGCTTGACAACTGGTTCATATTTATGATGGTTGCAGTGTCTGTCCCGGGGTTATATGACCATCTTTTGCAACCTTCTGACAAGTAAAATCAATGGGGAAACCAGAGTCACTTAACAATCATGTTACTAATTTAACAACTGCAGTGATTCGCTTCACAAATGTGGCAAGAAAAGTTGTAAGATGGAACAAAACTCACAGAACAAATGTTTCATTTAGCAACATTAATTCTGGTCTCAATTGTGATCATAAGTCAAGGACTAATTGTATATATAGCCTGTTCACTTCCCCATGAGAAGGAAGTGAGCCAAATACCAGTGTCTTACTGTGATGCTTGACTGTCAATCACAGAACTGCCAGGAACATAAGCCAACAAAGGTTAGCATTGTTTTTGAGGTCCAAGACTACTATGAGAGATTCAGGCATTACAACAAACTGCCAAAAACTGATGATAGGAACACATGAGCTATGTATATTTGCAAACCTCTTATTCATATTTTGTCAGCAGAATCCAGGGATTCTGATTTTTTATTACATGCCAGTGTGACTATTCAGTATGTAACCTAAGAATCTTCTCCTTGGAAATTAAAGAGGTTGAGCAAGGGATGCCTTTGTGTGATTATGCAGGGCAGTTTTACACTTGTGTTCTTAATTTATGCAACTATCTAGCTATTTGATAAAATGCATTTGCACTGATTACTTTATTTTGAGATTCTTTTCCTTTAAGGCCATATCACAAATATATTAACTGCTTTTTTTTTAATCAGAGGGATGGTTTTCCGTAACACCTGAGAAGATTGCTCAACACATCGCAGACCGTGTAAGGCTATCCTTTGACTCTGACATAATAGTAGACGCCTTTTGTGGTGTTGGAGGAAATGCTATTCAGTTTGCCTTGGCAGCAAAAAGAGGTAAATTCTTTTACTAGGTTTGAACTTTACTAGATATTTCATAACAGATGGATTTCTAGTTCGGGCTAATTATTGTTCCCGCTTAGTGTTTCTCAGACTGGAAACTTTAAGATACCTGGACTTCAACTCCCAGAGTTCCCCTGCCAGCTTTATAGCTGGGGAATTGTGGGAATTGAAGTCCAGATGTTGCCCTACTACAGATGTAGTCAATAACCCTAGGCAATATATATATTTTAGCTACAGTTAGGCTAGCTACTATTTTTCTAGAAAGTATCTGAAATTTTCTGTTTCATGGGTTTTCTTTTTAAGCTGGCTGATATTTAAATTGGTTTCATCTTTTCAGTAATTGCAGTTGACATTGACCCTGTGAAGATCCAACTCGCTCACAATAATGCCATGGTTTACGGAGTGGCAGACCAAATAGAATTCATATGTGGTGATTTCATGAAGCTGGCATCCAGTCTGAAAGCAGATGTTGTGTTTTTGAGTCCTCCCTGGGGTGGGCCTGAATATGCTGTTGCAGAAATCTTTGATATTCAAACAATGATTTCTCCTGATGGATATCCTTTTTAAAAATAATTTTGTTGTAGCCCTCATTCTGTAACGATAAAACTGATGTTGTTCTCCTTTGAGTGACAAAGCTTTGTATTTTAACATTTGTGTGTCATGGTGGTGTATTGGTTAAAATGCAGTATTTCAGGCTACTGGCTGCCAGCGGTTCGGCAGTTTGATTGTCACTGGCTCAAGGTTGACTCAGCCTTCTATCCTTCCAAGGTCCGTAAAATGAGAATCCAGATTGTTGGGGACAATAGGCTGATTCTGTAAACTGCTTAGAGCGAGCTGTAAAGCACTATGAAATGTTATATAAGCCTAAGTGCTATTAATAATGGCAAAAGGAGATGATAAAGTTTGCAGATTGATATCTTTATACCAGTGGGAAGAGATTTCCAACTTCAAGAGAAGTGAACAATAAGGTGGTAAATAAAAAGCCATATACAAATAAAGGAAAATATTTGTAGCTCAGGGTTGAAATGCGGGGTCCTTGGTGATCTCTGATGATGTTACCTAGCTTAGATAATGAAATGTCTACAAGAAAACAACCAAACTCAAAGCACGAAGACCCCCTGAAAATGCCACATAGATTTTTTTTTGTTTGCTTATGATTTTAATAGATATCAAAGGAAGTATCAGAATAAGATTTTCGGTGTGGAGGGTTTTTAAAAAAATTATTTCTTGTGACAGTTTGTATTCATTATGTGAACTACAGTATTTGAAGCTGTCTGATTTTTTACAAAGTTTTGAAAAATGAATTTTAAGTCACCTGAAAGATTGTACGTTTGTTTTTAAAATTATCAGATATGACAATTTTTGTTCTTAAAAAGTTGCACATTTTGTATACTAAGTTCTATCTGCAAAGTAAAACAAATATTAATTGCATTAAATTATCTCATAAAGCTGAAAGATTTCAGATGCTATGCAAATCTTACAATGAATCATTATTACCAGTGTAATAATACTGTCCAGATTAACATGCTTCAGTTTTGTTTTAAATAAGTACTTTAATGCAGTGCCATCTAACTGGTGTTCTGGTTAGAATAATGGAAACTATATAGAGATGACTGACTCAGCATGAATTTGTATATATGTCTCAGAGATTGGAATCAGTAACCAAACTGAATACTCAGTCCTGAGAGATAGGCTTTCAGTTCCCCACATCCGTCATTATTCTGCATGCCCAGCCAGCCACTCATTAAATTTCAGAATTTATTGTTGGGCAGGGAGTGGTGGTTCTGCTTTATGTCCTAAGCAGGGGTGGGATTCAAAAATTTCAGCAATGCGTTCTCTTGCTGGATGCGCATGGCCATGGTGGGCATGGCCTAGATGGCCTCCTGCACCACAGCTGGGAGGCCGTTTTCGCCTTCCCCAGGATCCCGAGGCTTTCATCAAGACTCCGGGAAGGCGAAAATTGCCTCGTTCAAGCCATTTCCAGGAGGCGCATTTTTCCCCCTCCAGGAACCTCTGCACAGGCCCTACACTTGCTTTGTATCCAAAATGGGCCAGGTGGACACTCCTGGGAGGGGCAGGGTGGCCAGCCATGGGTGAGATTTGGAGTTTCTCCAAACTTGCCATAACGTTAGCTACTGATTCTTGCGAACCTGTAGCAGCTCACCCCTGGTCCTAAGGCTGGTCAGCAGAATGGTTATGCAGCAAAATAAATGGAAATCGGGCTATAGAAACAAATGGTAGAATGGACTAATTAATTCCAGAATGCAGTGTATAATGTAGAGTAAAAATGAGGTAGAAAGTATGAAAGTAAAGCATTTCTTTAATAAGGAACTTATAGAAATTATTGTTGTTTGGCTAAATTAACCATTCTAAGTTGATAATACCTCCTCTAATATGGGTTGATCCATAAGTCCCCATCAGTTAAAAAGGAAGCAAGTTCAAAAACATTCCCCATTCTGGCTCAATTTTCTGTTTATGTTCTTATTTATTGAACAGATGAAAAATATAATAAATCCTTCCTAGGATTAATCACTAAAATAATTCTCATATAAACTATGATTAGATAAAAACATTTAGTATTTAGTTTTTATATGTGGAAGAATGTATATTTAAGAATATTGTCCCGAAAAAACCGTTGTAATATAAAAAAAATTTCTTAACCCAATTTTACATTTGAAATTTTTAACCTGTCACAGAAGATTACCAACAACATTGTTTATTTTCTTCCACGTAACGCGGACGTAGATCAGGTAAGTTATAAATTATAGATAAAATAAATACTTTTAGTCAGAAATTAAAGTGTAAATTAAGGTTTCTAGTCTGTATATGTATTTGTGTAATGTGATATGTTTTTGTTCCTTGTGTTGTTGTTTTTTAGCACACTTTACAGAGGTTAGGATGTATGCTATTCAGAATCATTTGCAATTGCATTAATCCATATATCTACTCAACTAAATAAAATAAATGTTTATCTTACTTGGTAACTATAGCTAAGCTGCTCTCTCTGTTTCTTTATGCCTCCACCTCAAAACCTCAATAGGGAGTTGGAATTGCAGAACTATTATGAAATTCCAAGAGAATCTAATCTTGGTATAAAGTATATAAGGCTAGTGTAAATATCTATTTTTGATGCAGAACAAGTGCTTATGTTTCACATTTTATACCATACAGAATCAAGGTAGAGTTAGTTTGAATCTCTTTGACTCTCCCCCCTTTCTCCAGACCAAGATGTTGCTTATTTTGTTCTAATGACTCTTGCATTCCTCTAACTTTGCACTCCCTACACTCAGTAGTCTTACACTTTAGAAAAAAGCTGGGGAAGAATGGTAAAAGCTGAATGGTTATGGATAGAGCTTTTTGAGTACTATGTTATGAGGTCTGTTCTGTGTTGTCATCAATATTCCCTGTTTATGACATATGTAACATTGACTTTATAGTTTTGTTATAGTTTAATTGTAACTATGTAAATATCCTGCTGTGGAGTATCAAATACAAAACAGTTAATATCCGAAATTCAAACGTAACTTGATATGTACACTTATGTTATTAATTGAAGCTACAAAAACCTTGTGTCTTTACATTTCCTCTAGAGGGAGCAGCAATTCCAAAAATAATGTAATGTGAACATTTGTTATATTTTAAAAAAGAAAAAAATATGGACTGTTCAGAGCATATTGGACACATTTGGAGCAAAACTAGTTGGGTTAGAGAAATGCTAAAACCATGACAGCATTTGCAGGAACTATAGTCCATGTTTAACATAAATTAATTTGTTTTAAAAGCTCAGAGATGTAGTGCTTTAGTAGATAAGGAGTGCGCAACTCAAGTTCTGTCCTATCCTGAGCCACCAAAACTCACTAGATAATTTTGGATCAGTTACTCTCTTGGTGTATTGTTGTCAGGAAAAGTAGGAGAAGTCATTGTCTATACCAGAGCTGTCAAACTCCCGGCCCATGGGCCGGAAGCATCACATCCATGCCCGGTTTAGCGAAGGGGGGGAAAGTCCTGTCAGGTGATGCCGCCATGATGACACGAGTTTGACAGCCATGGTCTATACTATCTGGAGTTTCTGAACATAATATAATTCTATACTATAAAACTGTTATTTAAATGGCAATATATTTATTTCAATACAACATATCAAATGAAAGTAGTTTCTAGTTCATTGCAATCCCAAAATAGATAGTAATGAACTGTAGGTTATTCTCTAGTATCTTGAAATTTTCCAAGTCTGTATAAAATTTAGTGAATCCTATTGAGGTAATAACTTCTGTAATTACTCAATTTTCACACGTTAGTATTTTATTAAGCACAAAACTCTGACAATTAGAAGTTACTAACATGTTGGTACATAAGTTAAATTGGATGTGTTCATTTCTTCTGGTCTTATTGCCTCCACGCAAACAGTAATTACAGCCAGCTCTATTTTTGCAGAAGTGCAGATGATTGTGAAAATGTTTTATGGGAAGCCTCCATAAAAAAGTTTTACAAGGTTCAATTGTGTCAGCAGTTGTGGTCATAGATCAGTTTCATAAGGGTTAATATTTTTTATTTTACACATTTATTAAATTTGTATAGTGCTTGCTATCATACAATTCTCAGTGGTAGACAAGTGTAAAATACCCACAGTACAAAAAAACCATAATCAGAAATAAAAACAACCGGTGTAAAATCAAAAATAGAAACACAGAAAAAGAAAATTCACAAGATGGTATCACCTTCATTAAATTAAAAAGAAAGCCCTCCAGAAGACCATCAATGTCAGGGCAAGTTGAATGTCCACAGAAAAGATGTTCCACGCAATGGGAACTATATTGGAGAAACAGCTAATCCTGGCCTAATGCCCTTACTCTGTCAACTTCCCAAGTGATATGTCTGAGACAGGTGGATTATAGTTGAAGAGACAGTCCTGAAGCCATATAATGCTTTATAGATCAAAATAAGCATTTAAAATTGCATGTGGAAATCAGGAAATCCTGATTATCTTTGTAAGGCCTGCAGCAAAACTATAATATGCTGCTGGCACAAAGTCATTTAACAGGCATGTTGTTGCATTTTGTGATAATTACCTTTAAAGGTGGGGTGATCCAAAAATGCAATTTCATAGTAACAGGAACATCAATTACTGTTGTGAATTTACTTTCTAAGCAGAATGTTGCTTTCACAGCCTGAGATCCCAGATGGTTGAGATAGTTGAGGGCTAAAATCCCTGTTGACTGCTGTTGGCAAAGCCACCTGGTCATTGATACGATACAGTAACATCCCCCAAACCCTAAAGTAGGAGAGCTGTAACCATATAGCACATGCAGTTATTTCCCATAAACACATTCAAATTTGGGACTGAATCCCCTGAAACTCCCTACTAGATGTCTATTCTGTGTCTGTTAAAAAGTGGATCACCAATTAATATGTACATGTGTAATAGTAATAATTACAGGTTGACCTGAACTCCATTATGAGTTAAAAGAATAGAACTACATAGTCTCTACAACTCTCATAAACTAAAAACAAAAATCATGTCATTTAAATATAAGCAAATTGCCTAAGGCAGGGATAGATAACCTGATGGTCTTGAATGCTTCTTTGCTGCCCCAACTCTTTTTTGATGGGTTCCAGACCCCCCCCCCCAACCACATTTGTGGAAAATCAACAGCATGTTTCCAACTATATTAGAAACAAAATACTGTACTTTAAAATGGTAACATAAGCCCTAAACTAGGCTTAATGTACTTAAAACTGAAATACTTATATGTGCTTTATTTTTACATATATGTTCATACAGTATTGTATCTACATAGGGATTTTGAGGCACGTCCAATTTATTTGGTGGGAAATGCTATTAAATAGAATGATTTAAATTTTGTTGATTGAAGAAAATTGCAGGAACAATTGAATGCATTTATCTTTCGCACTAAATATTGAGTAATACTGTACACCATTTCTCTACAAAGAATTGTGTAATATAGAAGTTCCCCTTGCAGTTTTAAATGTCAAAGTTCAGTGACCTGTGAAGAATCCTGAATAATAAAGTTACAGCCATTCTCCTATAACTCTCCCAGTGGTATTGTATGGCCTATATCTTATTGACACAAGGAGCAGGAGAGTAACTATTGAATGGCCAGCTAGCGGTTTGTATACCATAACCAGGTGGTGCAATTACGTGGCACTTAGGCTGCACTTATGGTTAATGGATTCGAACTGCCAAACTACTGACTTTTCTGATCGACAAACTCAGCGTCTTAGCCACTGAGCCACTGCATCCCTAGCGCCGTGTAACGGAGTGAGGTCCCATTACTTCTCCCGGCTTCTGCCAACCTAGAAGTTCAAAAGCACATAAAAAATGCAAATAGAAAAACCACCTTTGGTGGGAAGGTAGCAGCATTCTGTGCGCCTTCAGCATTTAGTCATGCAGGCCACATGTCCACAGAGACATATTCCGACAGCGCTGGCTCTTTGTCTTTGAAACGGAGATGAGCACCGCCCCCTAGAGTCGAGAACCACTAGCACATATGTGCGACAGGAACCTTTACCATATGATTAATGGACAGTCATAATGGCCCAGTAGTAAAACGGCTAGGTAGGTCCTGCAATATCTACAATTTACATTGTTTGATCAGTTCAATTAAGAAAGTTTTTCTGTATTTTATTTAAGGTAATGATGTAAAAATCACTAAACTTTTATTGAAAGTAACAACAGCACATACACAAATAGAATAATTTAAGGAGGTTCAAGATAGTGTAGCATATTTTACAGTCACTTGTGCCTTCAGTAAGAATTCTGGAATGGATGGATCATCACAGATAAGGTCTATATCCGTAATGGCGAACCCATGGCACGCGTGCCACAGGTGGCACACAGCTCCTTCTCTGTGAGCATGTGAGCTGTCGCCCTAGTTCAGTTTCACCGCGCATGCTTATAAACCTGCTGCTGACCAGCTGGTCATTAGGTCTGCCACGCAGGAGGCAGGGCATGTGCGGGGGGCATGTGCATGCACGTGGGCAGGGCACATGTGCAGAGGCTGCACTCATTGCGTTTTGGCGGTTTGGGCACACATTTTGGACACTCGGTCCAGAAAAGATTAACCATCACTGGTCTATATGAATGTTAAGAGTCAGCACACATTTGATGGTACATAAGAATGAAAAAGAATGAAAATATACCTTCCCAGAACCTGATAGTGTAACAAACAATTTCTGATACTGTTTAAACTTTGAATCTGGAATTTTTCTTTGGGGATTTTTTTTGTTTTGTTTTAAGCAGCTTTTTAGATGGCTGACTACTTTTACTTTTGCATCCCAAGGTAATTGTATAAAAAGAATCACACAATTTCTTTTAAAAATAATATTAACCTGTTCCTCACTCTTCACAGCTAGATTTTATTTTTAATTATTTAAGTAGCGAGAAAGTGTGTTTGAATCTTAAAAGAAGGAAAAGAAACGTGAAAATTGTCATATAACAGTTTGGAATTCATATTTAATGTAAAATAAAAAATCAGAATTATTTGGTCTTTCAAACGTGACTAAACAAAATTGAAAGAAACGCTTCTAATGTTAATAGGAATGGGAAATAATACAATGAAGATATTGTACACTGACTAGTTTTTGTACTAAATAGAAATATTAATCATAATTGTATGAACATCAGTAAATAGCCATAAATCGTTGTTAACTTTCAAACAGTTCAGCATTCATGTTGGCTGAATTGTCATTCTTTTTCTCCCTGAGATCCTTTGATAGACTTACTCATTGTTCATTGAACCCTTTTAAAGCATTCTAATTATTTAGTATTATAGTATCTTGTACCAGTTAATACCCTAATTACATAATGTAATTATGTAAGTGAACAATGCTTCTGTGCACAATGTGTAATTCATTTACGATATTCTTACATTCATCCTGTATTTCCTGAGTAGATAGTTTCTAAACTAATGTTTTAGCAAATCTTTGAGATTAGAGTGTTAAAGTTTTAATGCTTTGGGTTTTATTTCTTTTCCAAGTGTTTCTTTCCTAACTATTGCCTCTTTCAAAATTCTTTTGTTGTTTTTAAATAGCCTTCATGGTTTTTTGTATTTCCTGCTTCAGTACATTACTTCTTGTTTTTTGGTTTCCTGCTGTGGGACTGACTGGATGCTGAAAAAGCAAATGCTTTCTTTTTCTTTTACAGAAAGATAGGGGTTGGGAAAAGCTATTTTGACTCCATCTTTGTGCAAGGATCTTTTATGACATAGAGGGAGGTTGATTCTATGGCTGGCAGTGGGCGTGCTAGATGATATCAGGAGACACATGAAATGCTGAACACAGGAGCACCTGGATTGCCCATTTCCAACAGCTTTTGTAGACATTCATAGGTTGAACTTAGATATTCTAGAAGGAAAGCCTATACTGCATAAAGCACTTGAGTATTGATAGGAACAAAAATTAATCAGAATATTTTGTAGGCTGGATCTTTGATGTGATGTGCTTTTATATTTTTACAGCAGGTCTGAAAAAGCCTGAAATAAGGGTTAGGAATAAACACAACAAAAAGTGGAGGGGAACATATTTTTTTCTTTGTCTTAACTTTTACCACTTTTGATTTTTTTTTTAATTCTCTTGATCACCCAGTCACGACGTTTGGGGAGGGGGAAAATATTTGGTACTAGTAAAAGAGAATATTTGTATCTCAGGGTTGATATGAGGAAAATATTTTTAACAATGACCAGTTATTAATTGAAAAAGATTTTGAAATTAGTGATTTTCTATCCATTTATTGTGAATTTGGAATAAGTTAGTGCTAAAAAAGATCATGGAAAAGGGCATGGAAAGAAACCCTAATTCTAAAATTAAATTGCTGGAGGAAATGTTCCACTTGGTAAATAATAAAGCATAACTGAAACTTATACTAGGGATTTTCCCATAATAAATGCAACTATATCTCAAATATCTTAATTTTCTGATACTGATTTTTTTACAGGTGGCTTCCTTAGCTGGACCAGGAGGAAAAGTTGAAATAGAACAAAATTTTCTGAATAACAGATTGAAGACCATAACTGCTTATTTTGGAGATTTAATTAGACAAAATGTATCCTGACTTATTTATTAGTAAGCTGTTTATTGGGGATAAAAGAGATAATCAAATTTTAATTATAATTCCTTTTATTTACTTTTGTTAATTTCTTATTGCAAAATGTTCCATGTTCTATTAAACTTGAGAAAACAATGGTTTAAAATGTTTGTCACAAACACCAATAAAATATTTTATAAAAAGACTTAAAATATGTTGATAGTAAAAAGATGAGAATTGACTGAAGCAAAATTCCATATTTAGAATCTTACATTACTTAAGTTAATCTGTTTGTTTCTATCCTAAAAAACATTTTAAATTTGGCTATGAAATGGTTACAAAGAGAGAAACCTGCTTTTTCAGCAGAATGGAAGGAAGTTATTTAAGGAACATTTCGTACTCCTTTGAAATACTGCATCAATTGCTTTTCATCATCATTGGCTGAGATTATGGAGCAATTTTTATCTATGTTTTATCTGTGAATAAAAGTTGATTGAGATAAAATAATTTTACTATATACATTTCACCAACTCCAAAAAGATTAATTAAAAATTCATTTACAAATACATTGCTAATTCAGTTAGCAACTGTAATTGAGAAGAGAAACTCCTTTGCTAAGTGATATGATTGTAAAGCAAAAATATGCACAACTGCACAAACTTAATAACAGAGTTCTGGTTGTGATCATTAAGTAAATTATACAACATTGTATGACTGACTCACAATTTCCTATTGTCTTCCTTTTTGACTTTTATCAGATGCCGGCACTGATGGTCACAAATGACAATCACAAGTTCATGGATGCTGTGACTATCATAATTATGTGCTGGTTCTGAAGCAGTCAAGTTACTATCTATCACATGTACACTGCAACAGCTGCAACTTTGAGGACCAATCTCCTCATTCAGCCCTATCATAACTGCAAATGATTGCTAAATAAGTGGTCATTGTACAAAGACTGCAGAGGTGGTATTCAGCAGGTTCTGACCAGTTCTAGAGAACTGGTAGTGGAAATTTTGAGTAGTCTGGAGGACCGGTAAATATCACCTCTGACTGGCTCCTCCCCATCTATTCTCTGTCTCTCGAGTTCCAGCTATCCAGAGGGAATGTGGTTTTGCAATAACCTTCTCCTGGAGTGGGATGGGAATGGAGATTTTACAGTATCTTTCCCCTGCCAAGCCCACTAAGCTATACCATGCCCACCAAATCACACCAACAGAACCGGTAGTAAAAATTTTTTAATCCTGCCACTAAAGGACTGCTTGTCATTTTCACAGTAAACTATGAATGCTAACATCATTGTGGATAACAGAATAGAAGAAATCAGTTTCTTTCAGGATGGTCACAAGGTTTAGAAAAGTATATCTTTTCAAAGCAAATACTAAAGGAGAAATATTTAAGCAATAAGTACAGAGCATCTATGGTGGTTATGGAATAACTTGAAAAAAAAGTTGAAAAATAAATGGAATATATAAAAAAAAGAAAAAATCACTGCTTAAGGAAAATTCTTGGCCAAAACAGGAAGGAAAGGATATTTTGAAACAGTTCTTAAGTGTATGAAATTGATCCAATTACAGACAGGTATATAGTTTTATGGATCTTATTTCCTTTAATATAAATCAAATGAACAAAACTGCCCCCAGGGCTTATTAGTAGCATTAATATTAGGAAAGGATGAACAACTGTGTGACATAATTTCACCAACTGTCATAAGAACAAAGCAGTGTTATGATGGCTAATTATTTGTCCTTGTAGAGACACTTTAGTGGTGGCCTAATGGTTGTCATTCTAAATTAGTATTCCTTAATTTTATTAAATGCTGGATATAATTTACAACTGAATGTGCTGTGCTTTTTTCTAATGCTCTTTGAATTAACTTCTGCCTTGATGTATGGGTTTCATTAAACTCTTTGACTTATTATCAGCAGCAGGTAAAGGACCTGACATATTGCTGTCAGCTAATGGTATAAATATCACTATTTTCAAATAAAACATGATTCTGCCTCAATCATTTTTTCTCAACTTTGTAGTACTGAGACAGTATTACTCAGAAATCAGTTTGTAAATAATAAAGTCATTTGTTCTGACCTGGCTCCCAAACACGACAAGCCCTCTGTATTTAACTAAATGTTTTTTTTTCTTAGGTGGGCCAGCAGCCCAGGAAAAAAGTCTCTGTGTCTCTCTTACAACAGGCTAACAAGTCTCTTAAGTCCTCTGGAAAGTGATGCTCGCTCCCTTCCCCCCCTGAAATGGCCTCAACATGCAGATACTCACCCAGAGACATTCGGAAGGCACTGTAGAGTCCAATAATTCTGATAATTTCCAAACAGGATTCAGAAGTGCAGGCTATCAGTGGCTGACCGACAGGGAAATGAATAGTTGTCTGTCACACCAATTTATCTCTGCCCCCTACCTTTTATCCCCAGAGCTAGGGTGGAGCTTTACTAGCAGCGGTGACTCTTCTGTCCCAAGGACAGGCCCATAGATTCCCACTGCTGTCCTCTACCTTCTGCACATCTGTGCATCAGGCACTGGACTCAGCTGTTCCTCCTCTTCCTCATCAGCCACCTCCAGACCTAGGGGCTGTTGACTCTCCATCTGAGGCTGATGGATGGCCCAGGCTCTGCCTCTGTCTCCATCTCTGACAGCTCCATTCCCTCTTTTCCCTTGAAGCTCTCAGATTGCCTTGATGCTGGCCCTGACTCACACCGCCGCCACATCTGATTTGGCTGCAGGAGAGGCCCGCAGCTGACAGACCACAACACCATTATTTAACTTACACTGTGATCATGCTATTTAACTGCAATTGTATCTCAACAAGAAATGAGAGATACAATTAATTCTATGAAAAGACTAATGAGAATGCTTAGCTAAATGTGTAGTATGAGATCCTGGGAGTTCTTTTTCCCTTCAACTGGGCTTAGACATTTGATTTTGAAAGCTGATAAAAGTACTGCTTTTTTAAAAGCCTATTTCCTTTTTCAATATGCAAAACTACTGACTGCATCTAATCTATAAACAATAACTATCCTGCACATCATCCAGCTTTATCAAATTTTCTAGAATATCTTATGACCCTTTATTTCTTTCCAATACAAATACTAACTAGGCCCTATCCTGCTTAATATCTAAGATTAAATGTTTTTCATCTTTTGCTGTTTTGTTAACTGCCAGTATTTTCAGATGAAATGCATCACTGACTTCCCACCAAGGGCTATAAGAGAGCAGAGAATGGCTTTCTTCAACACACTGAAATAAAAAATAACTTTCGTATTAAACTATTTTCCGCATGGATCTTTGATTTCTGATCAGAAAGTTTAAATGGATAGTGAAAGTAGGTAGGTTTTGACAAATGTTAAAAGAAACAATAAGTTTCTAAGTTGAATTTATTTTGAGTTTTTAAGATGAAATCATTATAAGAGGGTAAATGATAACGGCATCTCTTTTTTTTAGGTGCACCCAAACTTGTTCCCATGTTTTTTTCTTTTATGTCGGGGACGGGGAGGAAACATGTAGAGTTTTAAATAGTAAAATGGTCACTTTAGAAGCATGTGGTCCCTCAAGATCCTCCCAGTTATTGAACACACCAACCCACAGCCCAGGTGCTGAGTCTGCTGCATCTTGTTGAGAAAGACTAGTGAAGAAAGAAAGTCTAATACATGAGAATTGACTGAAACAAGATTCCTAGTGTTGTTTACTACAGTTTTCTCTCTGGTCCGTTTGGCTAGGGGGGGCATGTTGTTACTGATTGGTTGTTACTGATTGGTTACCTGCTTGACAGCTGGCGTATATAAAGAGCAGTCAAACAGGGCTCAGCTGTTGCCAGTTAGCTAATATGCGCAGAATGTGAAGTGCCACGTTGGCAACCTTTTAGAAATAAACTGTTAGCTGACTTGAAGTCCTGGCTCACCTCCATTTGTCCGCCTGCGTTCTCCCAGCCAGAACATTGGCAATGAGGATGGAATTCCTCTGAGGAGGAGCCCAGGCAGAGCTGAGGAAAGTCACTAATTGAGGAGCTGAGTCATTAGAGCTGAATTCCCTCAGGGAATTACTCGACGAGACGTCGAGCGAGTCATTTCAACTACAAAGACCGCTACTGATTAAGCAAAAGAAAGAGAAGTTACCTCAAAATGGCTTCCATGAATACATTAGCCAGTTTTAACCCAGCCACGCAGACTTGAGACTCTTGCATTTCCCGATTGAGTGTTTTTTAGAAGCCAACGGCTTTACTAATCTAACTGAACAGCGGAAAAAATCGTGTTTTCTAAATTTGTGTAGTACGGAGATGTTTAATCTTGCGGAATCTTTAGTAGCTCTGCACTCCATCCACGATGTTACCTGGGATGTTTAAATAACAAAGTTAAAAAAATCATTATGCCCCATCACTTTCCCGCACGTTATGCCGGTTTGCCTTTTACAGAAGGTTCCAGCATGAGGGGGAGACAATTAACAAATATGTGGCTGCCTTACGAGCCACAGCACTCCACTGTCGCTTCAAAGACTTGGATGAGTCCATTACAGATCAGCTTGTGAGGGGTGTTAGAGACCTCCGTATACAGCGCCACCTGCTGGCCAAACCTGAGTTAGATTACAAATGGCTGTGGATGAAGCCAGAGCAGTAGAGCTGTCAATGAAGTCTACGGAAGAGATCCAGAGGTTCTACAAACCGCAGGCCAGAGCAAAAGCTACCAAGGTGCATCATGAAGACATTCATGATGATGGGGCTATGGGAAATGATGAAGTACATCACCTGAAGGTAGAACAGGCCAAAGGTCGATAAGGTAAGATCATGCCCCAAACTATCTGCCCAGGGTGTGGAAGTAGATACGATAGAACGGAGTGCCGTTTTAAAAATACTATCTGCCTCTGCTATGGAAAAAGAACATTGGTCTTACCTGAATGTGTCTTTTAAGAGGAAGTGAGGGAGTGGTCACATCTGGGTATTCCCAAAGCCTGATTGGTCCAAAGACTGAGAGCAAACTCTTAAATACTGGTGCCTTCCATCCTAGCCCAGTTTCCTCGAAGGCGAACGGTAGAACTGAAACAACAAGAATAACAAAAACAACCCCCCCCCCGGGAACCACCCGGGCCTCCCCTTGGTCCCAAAGGAAAACACTCAGGGCGGGTTGTGACCACTCCCTCTCTTCCTCTTAAAAGACACGTTCAGGTAAGACCAACATTCTTTTTCCAGAGGAAGAGAGGGAGTGGTCACATGTGGGACATACCCAAGCTCCTAGTTCCAGGGAGGAAAAACAACAGACCGGCCGCCACCCTCTGCAAGACTCTCTGACCAAGGGACGCGGCCACCGAAGTGAAGGCATTCAGACATTAATGTCAGATGAAAGGCGTCAGAGAAGCCCAAGTGGCAGCACGACAAATGTCTTCAAAGGGGGCCCTTGTGGCCTACGCTGCCATGGTCGCGGCACTTCTAGTAGAATGGGCCATGATGCCCAATGGGACCGGCCGACCAGACACACCGTAGGCCTCCACAATGGCCTATCGCAGCCAATGGTGGCCAAGGACACCCTAAATCCCAACGTTCTCGGCTGGAACAAAACAAACAAGGCCTCCGTCCTATGAACCCCCGCGGTCCGCCGGAGATAAATCAGCAGGGCGCGGCGTACATCCAACCGGTGCCAGAGCCTCTCCCTGTCGGACAGGTCCAGACAAAAATCGGACAGGACGATCTCCTGAGCCTGATGGAAAAGAGTGTTCACCTTCAGGATGATGGCCGGATCAAGGCGAAGCACCATGCTGTCCTGGTGAAAATGACAAAGGTCGTCCCTGGAAGACAGGGCTCCTAGTCCCCTTTTCTGATGCCCTGAAGGATAGATTTGAGGGAGGACATTTTGAATTGCCTGTACACCAGAAAACGGTTCAGGTATTTGAGGTCCAGAACTGCCCTCCAGCCCCTCCGAGCTCTTCGGAACCACAAACAGTTTGGAAAAGGCCCTGTTCCTCTAGAGGAACTGCCTCCACCGCCCGAATGTTGAGAAGATGGGCAATAGCCTGATCCATCAGGCAGCAGCGCTCCAGGCTCCGGGATGGAGGGAATGACCTGAAGAGATTCAGAGGAGTGGAGAGAAATTCTAACCTGAGACCGTGATGAACCGTGGCAGCCAACGTCCGACGTGATCTCATCCCATTGATTCGCATAGAGGGAAAGGCGGCCGCCGATGGGATGACTTGGGTTCGAGTCACTTCCCCCTGGGTAGGGATGGCCACCTCCTCCACAAAAGGGCCGCCTGGACTGGTGCTGGAAACGATTTCTGTCCTGAAAGGATGACCTGGGAAACTGCCTGTCAGAGCGGAAAGAAGAAAAACGCTGGTTATAGTCCTAATCTGCAGCCCTGTGTGACTGCCTATGGTAAGGATGAGGCCTAGCCTCGGGCTTCTTAGCATTAGATGGCAGAACCTTCTTTTTGTCTTTATTCTCGACCAGGATGAGGTCGAGGCCTCCCCAAAAAGATTAGGCCCCTTGAACGGGACAGCCGCCAAATTCCACTTGGCCTTGTTATCCATCTGCCAGTGGCGCAGCCATAAGAGCCTGCGAGACNTCTCCCACGTCTGTCCAGCTGGAGCACTTCCTGTCGTCTTTTTGGCCGCTTTTTTTGATACAATCTAATAATCTGGCTCTTGGTTAATTTACATGTCCATAGAGCCAGGTTAATATCATCCCATTAGGATAATAATTGTCCCAGAGGACTATCTGATGGTATTTCTACAGTACTGTTAGTCATTTTCATATTAAGTTTGTTTTCCCTAGACGTAGCACAACAACTACAACTATTGCCCATCCTCTTGAGAGTTTTCCTGACTATGGTTTCCTGAGGTTCTCGATTTTACGGCCATTCAAAATCCATGACACCAGTCCGCTTCCCTTCAGGCTGGCCTTCCTCCTCACGGAAGAAACCACAACCTTTCAGGTTCGCACTTGCTCTGGACTCACTAGTGTTCCCGGAACACAGTCCAACGCACACACTGCCATTACTGAAGAACCTCCCACAA